TCTTTCTTTCTTTCTTTCTTTCTTTCTTTCTTTCTTTCTTTCTTTCTCTTTCTCTCTTTCTTTCTCTCTCTCTCTTTCTTTCTTTTTTTTTCTTTCTTTCTTTCTAGACAGAGTCTTTTATGTATCCCAGCCTGTTCTTAAACTTGAGATCCTCCTGCCTCAGCCTCCCAAGGGCTGGAATTTGGAAAATGAGCCATAATACCTGACAATCCAAGTGAGGATTTTCAAATAGTTAGTATATAAACTCAGGCCCTAGTGTTCCTTGGGACCTGAGAAGCCATCTATTTCTGCTTTGTGTCTCTTTGACTGTATGCTTGCCTGTCTTTGCTTACTGGAGCACATCGCTTCCTCTATCCATCTGCTTAGCTGCCTGTTTTTCTCCATTCTTAAAAGTTGCTCTTAAACCCCAGAATCTGTCAGCCTCTGCAAGTCACCTGCAAGTCACCCTGTGTTCTAGGAGAGGGGAATCTGATGGGCTGAGCCTGACACCTGAGTTGTTCTCCTTGGGTCTCAGGCTGATGACCAAGAGTGAGGTCACATAATCCTGTAGAGTGCTTGGAGAAACGGAACATATTACCAAAAATACCAGTTCGTATATTCAGCACTTAGAGTATTCCAAGCACTTCGGTGCATTCTCTTGTGAATCTTCTTCCTTGCTTGGTTCTAGGGATTGATCTAACTGGAGTGGTAAGGGAATGGAGAAATGACAAACACACAGACACGCTGACATGTAAAAGCTGGGATCGGGTGGGGTGGGCTCTCTGAGGGAGAAGCTGCAGCACTCTAGAAATTTAGTGGGTTGACTACGTAGAGTTGAACATAGAGGAAGGTTAGTATATACAACTGAATCCAGGAGGCAGAGTTATTAGTTGCAGCCAAATCAAAGAGGCAGGGTTATTATATACAGCTGGACAAAGAGGCTGGGCTATTACATACAGCTGAACAAGGAGGCAGGGCTATTATATACAGCTGGACAAGGAGGCAGGTTAGTGTATGTAGCTGATCAAGGAGGCAGATTTAGCTAATCAAGTAGGAGTCTGTATGGGAGCAGTCTTTAGGCCATAAACACTGGGGGTAGGGGCCAGGGAGTCTCCATGGACATTGCCTTTACACACTGTCCACACTCACACTCAGACCCCAGCAAAGCTTTGCCATCCCTCTGAGACTCCCCCAAGGAAGCTTTGCCACTCCCGTGGGGCTCAAGTATTGATACCTGACATGGCCCACGTCTATGTCAACAGCACTCATTCACCCAAGACTTCTCTCCCTCCCTACAACCCCTTAACCTCCAGGAAATATTTCATTGCCCCGTTGTTTTGAATCAGGAAAATACAGTACAGAGTGATGAAAATACTTGGTTAGCAAGCATCACTCAGTTGGTGTGTGGCCTGGTCATGAATTAAAATGATGGCCTGACTCCACAGCCTGTGTTTCTTATCAGTCCTCAGCATCCCTCTCCTTCTGTGGCCATTTTTACCCAGACTTCTTAGAACCCAGACTCCAGGATCAGGGTGTCTAGTTCCTGCATGCTTGCTAAAAGACTGTCTGAGGGAGCGGCTGAACCATCAAGAGATGCTTGGTCCGAGGCAGTCTAGATGTAGGAGACTTGGAGACTTCCTCTTGCTGCTGCTTGCCCAAAGAGTTAGTGTGCATGTTTTTACAGACCTTCTCTCTCCATTCTTTTTGCACAGACAAGAGTGAGAATGGCGAGGTATACCAGAGGAAGAAAGTGACAGCTGCTGGCCTCCCAGAGGGCGCTGCCCTCTCAGGGTCAGTGCAAGAGAACCCAGGGCAGCCTGGGGTCAGCAGCTGGAGGAGGATCGCTCTGCTCATCCTGGCCATCACCTTACACAACGTTCCAGGTGAGGACTGGTCCTGGGGCTGTCTGCCACCTGCTTGAGGTTCAAGCCATTCTTTACCCACACAGCTGTGCGGCTGGAAAGGGGGAACTGTCAGTAGTGACATGAGTAACATTTGGAGGGGAGGGGAGGCCGCTCTATGCTATGGGTGATTTATTCTATAATGAATATAAATATATTCTATACAATTAAAATCTTATAATGAATAAAATAATATAACTTATTCTATATCTTTATGTGTTCCACCTTTCCATTCCAGTTACTTTAAATAACCTCTGCTGTTTTGACCCAGGAGTCCCTTTCTTTACATTTCTGGTACCAGATACCAGATCATGTGGAATGTAGTTTTATCACCTCCGTGATTGCTGGGATAGAGGGAGCCTCCTGTAAGTGCAGGATGTCTCCAGTTCTGACCGATTCTTTGTATGACATATTGAGTTCTGGGCTTGGGAGACAGCTCAGTCAGTAAAGCGTGTGTTGTCCAGGTCAACAAGCTGGATGTGTTGGCATGAGCCCATCATCTCCGCACTGGGGAGGCAGGGCAGGAGGGTTCCTCAGCGCTTGCTGACCAGTCAAATTAGCTTATTCTCAGTGGTTCTCAACCTTCCTAGCGCTGCGACCCTTTAATACAGCTCCTCATGTTGTGGTGACCCCCCAACCGTAAACTTGTTTTTGTTGCTGCTTCATAACTGTACTTTGGCTACTGCTATGAACAATAATGTAAATGTGTGTTTTTCACTCATTTGGTGACCCTTGTGAAACGGTCATTTGACCTCCAAAGGGCTCGTGAGCCACAGGCTGATAACAAATGATTTGGAGAGTTCTGGGACAGCGAGAGACTCCGTCACCATCAACTAAATGGACGGAGTTGAGAAACGACACCTAAGGTTGACCTCTAGGTTTTACACAAACATGCACACATGTGGACCCCCACAGAAACACGTACACCCGCAAACATGTACCCCACCGCACACATATACCAAGAAAACAGTATGGAATTCTGCCATGATTGGCACTCATGTTTCAATCACGTGCTTTCTCTGTATGGACATCTGTCTGAGATTTTTACAGATCTTTTCCTATAACAGAGTGACTTATTTCTGTCTTTGGATTTAATTTAATGGAGGGAGATTTACTTTATTTAAAAGATAGTATTTCTTTTAGAGCAATGAGAAGCTACAAGTAGGCATAAAATACTAAACAATAAGGCTGCTACAAAAATAAATAAATGAGGGACCCTGAGCTGCTAGGGACATATTCTAGCTCTGCCACCCACAAGTTTATCTCCGAATACTGTTTACTTTTCTCATGGATGAAATGGGACTAAGATGCCAACTGGTTTCTTCTGAGACTTCTACGAAACCTGCCCATAGCCGTTGGCTTCATCACCGTGCTCAGGCCTTCAGAGAGTTTGACAGATGGGGGCCACTGTGTGGGCCAGGCTCCTCAGGTCTTTCAGCCATGACTTTGTCAGTCTTGACTTCTTAATCGTTCCCATCCATCCTTTGCTGAAAATTGAGCGTGCGTGGTCACCTTCCCTGGGGACCATGCTGGGTGATTTGTTTTTTGGGTCCGCAGAGTTCAGAGATTCCATGTGTTGTCTGTGACAGGAACAGTGCAGCTGGCCAAGGCTCTCTAGAGTGACAGTGTTTCTCTCTTAAGACCCATGTAGCTGTCCTGCCATCTCCTGGCTTTAATTTTGTAGCGGGAGAGAACACGGCCGGGGATGAGGCTAGTCCTCTGGAGAACTTGGTACTCTTATTTGAGCAAAGAAGACACCACATGTAGCCTTGTCTGCATTATTATAGACTAGTACATATGGAATCTGCCCAAAATGCTGTGCACCCAAAAACTATTTGGCCAGGCTTTTTCTCTGGGATGAGAGAAACATGTTTCTGTAGTAATTTCCATCATAGTTACAGCAATTTCTATCGTGTAATCTTATACAGGCTGTTTTTCTTAGAATTTTTCTCATCGCCTGTCTCTCTGCCATTTTCCTCCTGGCACTTCAGCCCTTTCTGGGTCAGAAGTACATTTTCTAAAGCTCCCCATTTAGTCTGTCTTCAGATGGAGTCTCCTATGGGACCCCCTGTATACAGTTCACAGAGAAGACCTAAATGGATTTGTACTGTTGGGGGTTCCTGCCATGAGACCCACAATATCTTCAATTGCCCATTGGAAGTCTGAGGGCTCCTGAATCTCCCCCAGCCTGTGAAACACAGGTCGCTGCAGAAGCAGGGTTACCTGTGTTATCCTGTCAGCCATGGGGTGGTCCCACATTCAGGACCTCTTATCAACCAGTCTAAAGAATAAAGATCCATCCAGTGGGCTCAGAGGAAGGTCCAGTGAGGATACTGGCTCACTGTGCACCACGGTGCTTTCTGTTTCCTCAAAGGATATGAAAATACCTTCGAGGCAGGCTTTTCATCAACGCAATGGGGTACCAGGCTGCCTCCAGATGTGCCTTGGCCACACATAGCACATCTGCACTATCTTCCCATGCTCTGCTAAGGTTGGAGCAGGTATGAGAGGAGATGGATCAGGGGGTTCCCAAGGCTATGAGGTGACCAGCTACAGGGATTTGGTTGTGGTTAAGATCATCTAGGAAGAGGGTGGGAACTGAGCTGTGAATTGTGAGGTTTGACACCTGTCAGGCCGGGGAGATTGTGAGCAGAAGGCTGGGTTCGAAGGTTGGAGTCTGACTACAAGGGTAAACTGTGACTCATGGGCTCTTAAAGTAGTTAGTATTAATTGTCAACTTGACAGCACCTGGAATCACCTAGACACCAAACCCTCAGTCTCACTGGTGAGGGATTATTTAGCACTGGAGTCTTGAGAGTGATTATGTTGATTAGATCTTTTAAGTGGGGAGACCAACCACCCTAAAAGGGAGTGTATCACTCCCTGGATGGTCCTGGAATACATTAAGTAGCTCAACAGAACCCTTCAACTCTCTCTGCTGCTTTGTGGGTTTATATGACCAAATAGCCAAGATCCTGCCATTTGGCTTCCCTGCCACAACAGATGCACTCTTAAACTATGAACTCGAATAAGCCCTTCTCTCTTAAGTTGCTTTCATGCAGGCATTTTATCACAGCAACAAAAAATTAACTGAGATAGCATGTGACTGCTCTGTAGACCTTTGGCACTGTAGGACATCGCCCAAGGCCTAAGTGCAGAATATAACATCCTGGGGGCTGGGGGCTGCTCTGGAGCAGCTTAGCAAGCCTTCAGGTGATGGCTTAGCATGCATGGAGCCCTAACACTGATGCCCAGAACTACATAAACTGGGCACTGTGGGTGCACATCTGTACTCCCAGCACGCTGGAAGGTAGAAGCAGAAGGATAAGGAGATCAAGGTTATCCTTGGCTACATAACAAGTTAGAGGCCAGCCTGAGTTACATGAGACCCTGTCTGAAAAAAAAAAATTACATAACTCTGAAGTTCCCAGCAGGGTTCATTTCTCATGCCTCTGGTTTCTGCTTTAGTCTGAAGAGGATAACTCACCCACAGTTCCTGTCAGTTGTGTGATGCTCTCTGACAAGAATCATTTTAAAAGCCTGCCCAGCCCCAGCTGCCTCTGAAAAGGTCTCTCTCTCTCTCTTTTAACACCATCTTTTATGGTTTATTAAAAATTTAGGTTCAGCTTTGACATTCCCCAAGACACTGTGTTTTCAGATAGACTTTCTATAATGACTTAATGGATAATTGATTTTTTTTGAAGTTTTTGTCTTTGCTGGTTCAGTTTTGTAGGTCCTGAAGATGATATTTTGTTTAAAAAAAATGAATTGCAATGTGGGAAAAGAGAAAGAAAGGCTTCTTAATGGCTAGCCTGGCTTTGGAGTGTTCTGGAGTACGAGCACATACATGAGGGCGTTCGTACTTACCCCAGGCACCTAAGTTAATGTGTAAAACCTATCTGTGAGGACAAACGAATTTCTGAGTCTCTGTGCTTCTTGGTCCTCCCTGACTCCAGTCAAGTTATAGACCTTTGTCAGTTACTGTTCATCACTGTGACAAAATGCCCAAGAGAAACCCAGTTAAAGGATGGCTCAGGATTTCAGCCATCTGGCTCCAGTGCTTTGGGCTTGAGGCAAGGCAGAGTGTCATGACAGCAGGCATGTGTGGTATCTCCTGTTGTGACATGTACCATTATATACTCCGTTGTTTAAATCCCTGTGTTTTCCTGTTAGATGGGGCGTCTTTTCAAAAGGTCACTGTATGTTCTTTTATTAAACTAATATCACAGCATGGGCTGGAGCTCCAACCTAGTCCATGGCCACTTCATACCCCAGCACCAGGAAGGGCAAGGACATTCCCTTCCTACCTCCTTTCTAGGAGAGCAGAGGAGTTGAACAATTGTTTCCCCTCTGTGTTGGCTACCAGGTGGGCTAATGGTAGATATTTTTGCCGTGTGTATGTGTGTCGTGTACATGGGCATGAAATGGAAGCTGGAGGTTGATATCCAGTGTCTTCCTCAGTCATCCTTCCCTCTTTGAGGCAGGGTCTCTCACCGGGACTCGGGGCTCAGTGATGAGGCTAGACTGGCTGGCCTGTAACTCTCAGGGATCTTCTCATGTCCACCTGCCCAGCTCTGGGACTGCGGTCATGCTGCCACCCCCAGCTTCTTGCACTGATTCTGGGCATGAGTGGCAGGCCTCCACACACTGATTATGTGCTGGTTAAGACTCATTGTGTTGCTGCCTTCATTACTTGTTTTCTCATTCCCCTCTCCTTACAGACAAGAGCCAAGTTCACTGTGACAGTTGTTGTTCTGCTGTAGAGACCTGGGGGCTGCTGTTTGTGTCTCCAGGACAGCACAGTGGTTGATTTTAATTATTTGGCTTGTCATCATTGCTAGTTTCTAATAATGGCTTCAAAAGGAATGCTCGGGGTTTGAGTCAGAAGTGATTTTAGTTTCAGGGAACTCAAGAACAAATTTAGAAAACAAAATATTGATGGTGACTGGCTGTTCCTGAGGGCTAAGGTTATAACTAATTTT